AAAGAGTGCTGCCAGGCTGGCCAACACAGAATATATTGTGAATATAAGGTAAACCTATATATTAATTGAAATCAGAAGATTCAACAAAAAGTAAGTTTAGATTCTAATGTGCACATTCATTACATTAACATACCTCATATACTGGACAAACTGCATGTGATGATAGCTTTATATAAGCTTTTGATGTCCGTTGACCATCAGGGAGTTTGCTGCTGCTGCTGTTTGGCAAGGTTAGTCGGTGGTATTAAAGCCAGTAGTGGAAAAGCTGGAAGTATTTATATCATGATCTGATCTTTTTTGAGTATAGGCTATAATTGTTTAATGTTGATTCTTATAGGTTCAAGTGTGGGTTTGTTGGTTGCCAGCCAGTGTTCTTTTCATATTGCAGCAGTTAATGCAATATATTTGGGAGACTCCATTCAAAGATATACTCTTTTTCTTCTGCTGAAATGTCCTTGTATAAAGGCAAATTTCAGCTTGGGACGAATGGTGTCATAAATATTCTCCGCAAATATTCCCCTCAGAGAAGATTCAGTGGTACCTGAGGGTCTGACTATAGCTTTCGGTTTTCTGTGATTTGCTTGAGATGATAGCTGGTTTCATAGATGTAGGTATGGTGGTCCATGAGTTTCTTGTATACAGTGGTTTCTAGGGTACCATCCTGGATGTAGAACATAGTTGATATTTGTAGGGGTGCACTGATAAATATTTTTTTGGCTGATACCAATGACCGATTATTAACAAGCCATATTGGCTGATACTCATCCAATTGCTGATATGCAGCCCGGCAGCATGGAGAGCAGCATCTGGCTGGTAAGTCTGTTGCAGGGGAAGAGGTGGGGAGAAGAATGGGGTGTGAGGGGAAGATTGAGGTCCCTGCAGTGAGGGAGGTAGTGGAGCTGGGACAGGGGCAGGTGCTGCTCAGCTGGGGCAGGGTGGGGTGCAGGACAGAGCCGTAAGAGGCTCATTGAGGGGGTGCAGGAGTGTGGATCCTACTGCTCTATGCACTCCCGGGGGAACCATGGGGTTTGCCCGTGGATCTGTGAGAAGGGTGAGGGCAGGCTGCCACTGTGGGCTGGGGCCGGGGGCAGCATTGGGCTCTTCCCAGCTAGGTGTTGGGTCAAGGCTGCACTAAGGGCAGGCAGTGGTGGTGCTTGGATGGGGGTGGGGACTATGGGGTGGGCTACAGCCACCCCAAAATTTGCTGTAGCTCCCCCTGTAGCCCTCCCTCCCAGTACTGCCACTGCCCACCCTGAGCACAGCCTTGGCCCAACCCCTCCACTGAGAAGAACCTGGCACCAGCCCCAGCCCACAGTGGAAGCTTGCCCTTGCCCCATGCACAGATCTGGGGGGGGGCACATGCCCCCCATGGCTCCCCTGGGGTGTGCATAGTGACAAGTTCTGCCCCCCCTCCCCATGCCCCCTGGATGAGCCTGTTGCAGCTCTGTCCCATGCCCTGCCCCAGGTGGACAGTGCCAGCCCCAGCCCCAGCTCCAGCCCCACTCCCTACCTCAGTGCAGGGGCCTCAATCTGAGCCCCCCACATCCCTTCCCTTCCCCCACCCCTACCTGCCGACAGACTTACTGCTCTACAAGCTGCCAAGCTGGCTGCATGCATTTTGCAGCTGCACGCACACACATGGCATTTATCAGCGACATTATTGGCCACATCAGCTGTTAGACCCCGAATCCATGCAGCGCCTAATGATTAAGGAGACAATGGTCCAAATGCTCATGGATCCTGCTACTCATAGCCAGAGCAAGCAGGGAGCAAACACCAACACACACTGCTCGCAACTGCTTTATTTAGAATGGAGACAGCTTTGGACTAGCTCCCAAAAAAACAACAAACTGGGGAGCCGCAACGAACACTAGTTTTTTCCCACATTTATACACTTTGGTTTATACTCATTAACATTCATTCTACCTCTGTCGCTCCTTTTGTTCCACCCATTTCTCCTCCCATCCCACCTCTGTTTACTGTTTGCTTCATTAGCATGGAATTGCCTATGCATTTTACTCATTTACGTGTTTTTTTTGCTATGAGCACATGTCGAAGGCCTTGACTCCTACTCTCCAATCAATGGGCGGACTTTGTCCAAAACCTGGAAGATTCTAGAGGCTTCTTCACCAATCACCATTCACCTTTTTGCATATGTTCATCTCAGATTCTGTTACCAATTATGTGTTGTTTTTCCACATTCCAGGCTGTTTTTCTGTCTCATATTATATCATCTTCCACATTCCTAAAATATCACCTCATTCACAACACACAAACTCACACAGATTCACTTGCTGCTTTTTCCTCAGAAAATGGTTGACACAGTTAAGATGGTTACTTTGCATAAGCAAATGGCTGGCTTAGATATCATTCTGCCTTGTGGTCAGCAGCTCTGCTAAGCCACAGGTCATGCCTTTGTATTCAGCTGCAAATCCAGTGCTCTCCAAAAATCCACATAGTGTTACCCTAACATCAACCAAAAAAGCCAATCACTGATAATATCAATTTTCCTTTTATTGGTGCCGATACGATATGGACCGATGTATCAGTGCATCTCTAGATTATGTATAGGAATATATCAGAGAGAACTTTATAGAGATGAAATAGTTGTTAAACCTGTGATTGAAATTAATAAAAAGTCTAGGTATTTAGTTCAGACGATGCAGCTTATCATCTATGTGATGCATGTGGAATGCAGGTTTAACGGTGAAGTTTTCTAAATATCCCCCCTCTAGGTGGCTTAAGAAGAGGTTGGTATATTGGGGAAGCATCTTTCTGTCCATAGTTATGCTCATGATTTGGAAGAAGTGTTGATTTTAAAAGTGAAGTAGTTGAGGGTGAGGCTGATTTGTGTAACAGGTTGTTGTACATTTGAGCGTAGTCCATGTAAGTGTAGTTCTTGTAAGTATTTCAGGTAGGCAGCTGTGCCTCCATGGTGTAGGATATTAGTGTACAGGCTGATATCCACAGGGAATGTGGATGATATTCTGAATCTTGTTGAGAAAGTCTGCTTTGTCTTGTAAGAAACGTGCTTTGAGTGAGAAGCGACTTCAGGATGGTTTTTATGAATCCTGATAGCTCTTCAGTAAGAGTTTAGTGGCTGGATATGAGGGATCCAACAGGGTTACTTTGTTCATGAATCTCTGGGAGCATATATAATTTTTATGGGCTAGGAGAGTAGAGGATAAGTGGAAGTATTTTTTTTTTTCCTAAAGCTGGTAAAGAGGTGGTGCAAGCACCTACTCTGGACTCCTTTAAGAGACATTTGGACATTTATCTTGCTGGGATCCTTTGACCCCAGCTGACTTCCTGCCACTGGGGCAGAGGGCTGGACTCAATAATCTTCTGAGGTCCCTTCCAGCCCTAATGTCTATGAAAAAAAAAGATTATAAACTCCTCTGAAAATAGGTTATCTTTTTGGTATATGTACAGTATACCTAGTACAGCATATCCAGGCATGCTACAGAGATACAAATAATTCCTGTGACAGAGGGAACAGCTTATACACAATGATAAACTAATATCATTGTGACGTAAAATTAAACTATTAGGATAAGACTTCGTTGTAGATAAAGGAAGTGCAAAGAGTTGCAGACAGAACAATTACCATCAGATTGACTAGTTTCCTTTGTGAAGAATCTCTGAGCACCTTGTAATAATTATAATTATACCATAAGCAGTTTCTTGACTTCTTGCTTGGTCAGTCAAGATAGGAGGAATAGATCTATGAAGACAGTAAGTGTTGTGATGACAAGGTACTTAAAACAGGGTGGAAAAGTACTATAGAAAGCTGGGGAGAAAGGAATGGAATGTAACTTACTCTGAAATATCTGAAAAACTACAGAACTCCAGGTTCATAAAGTTCTTCATTAACTGGGATGGAAAAGTTAAGATATTATTCATTTTATGAAATTTCTGAGGCCCCTAACTAGGAAGCATGGTCCTAATGGAAATTATATAGGAAAAAATAATCATATTAAGACAATTTTTTTGATGCAAGAAATACTTGATGGGGGATAGCTGTACAATCATATTTAAGGCTGAATGACTTCCTATTCACTCATGTCAACATGTTACGTAAGTGTTTAAATGACTGGGTGCTTTAAGGATAGATAATGTCACAGCAGGTCCAGGCAGGAAGACTCTGTGGATGGATTATTGTTTGCATATGGGTGTCAGCCCCATCTATGACACTACTCCAGAAAACTACTCAAAACCTACTCAAAGCCTCAAAAGCTACTCTGCAGAGCTGATGTGGAGAAATGACCATTGCTCCAGCTACAGTTCCATGGGAAATATGCTCATAAATATGAATATAGGTTGAGACTCCTGCATGCTGTGGGAGTCGTTTTTAAGTTCCTGGCAGGGGAACTGCACTGAAAGGGAAATGTAGATGAGTCAAAGGGGGCTAGTATGCAATGCAGAGGTGCAGAATTCCTACACTAGTAGTGTGGGGATCTGAATGGATTAGGCTGGAAAAAACACTGCTTCTTCCACACAGGAAACAATGACTTGGGGAAAGCTCTATGATGGGGTCATGGAGTTTTCCTTTCTTTGTGGCTCCTTATTTAATGTCCCTGAAATTTAAGTTGGAAAATACCATGTGTTCTTCTTCAATAATCTATTTGTCTTTTTCTCCATTAAGGAGAAAAATCCCATTATACTTTTTTTTCCAAGACTTTCAATGACATCCATGGGAGCCTTGTGGGACCACAGGATTCAGTTCTGTTCTGTTTATACTCTGTTGTGTATTTGTGCACTTTCTGGGGCAAAATGTGATTCCCTGTAAACTACCCTGACATTCAGTTTTTTCTTTCCAAGGGAAACATCTGGGAACAAATATTGCGAATACCCTTCCTCCTGGAAATAATCAATGCTGTTCCATTCATCATCACGGTAAGTCCATTTGAATTAACAGGTGTGTGCATTTTATGTCTATTCACAGCCAAATAGAATGAAAGGTCCAAGCCAACACACACTTAAATGATTGACAATTTCTTTCTATTAGTTTGTCTGTATGCAAGATTAGATCAATTAAGGAAGGAAGATTAAACGCGCTCTCTCTCTCTCTAAAAAAACGAAGCAAATAGTGCAATTAAGAAGATAAACTCGCTAAAAATAAAACAGAGCATGTCTGTTTGATTCAATAATATGCTACTTTAAACTGTGTACCCCTTATCTCAGAGTTGCATCACATTGTATATAGTCTGTATAATTTACAGAGACATAATGGAGTTTTAAGTTAATTTTTACATTAGGAACACACATATGATTTTGATTTTCCTGAGCTCTGTATTGGACCTAGTTTTTTGTTTATTTTTTTCAGATTTTCTGGCCTGCTCTAAGAAACCTATTTATACCTGTGTTCTTAAATTGCTGGCTTGCCAAACATGCTTTGGAGAATATGATTGTAAGTATGACAAAAAAATAGGCATTGATAACATGTAAAGGATGTTTCTAAGTATACTGCTTTTAGCAATGCTACTGCTTCCTTCCACCACCCAACTTTGTATGAAATTTATTAGCTTCACAGTTAGAACATTAACCCTTTCTTTTTTTGCATCAAATTTGGAAAAAATGCAAGGCATCCAGTAAGATCCACCCTACCTGATAGAAATTGATACAATTCCGATGATTATAACCCAGCAAGAAAAACCAAAATGACTAGCTCCTGTGTAGTTCATCCATAGCATGTCCATCCAGGAGCCGTTACTGGTTACTCCTTACTAGTATACAAAACCCTATGGGCTGTAGCCAACTGATAGTTTGAAAAAGGTACCAAGATATTCTAATTATGTCAAGGCTAACGGGGTGGGGGGAGCAGTCACAAAATCAGGGAACCACAACTTTGTATCCGCCCCACATTGAGCTCAACGTATTTTAAAGTGTGTTTTGGCTATTGCATTTTAACAGGACCATCACAGAATTCCACAGCAGGATCAGCTGATTCATTAATAATTTTTTATAAAAGAAAGACAAGAAAAGAAAAAACCTACCACAAACCAACCATAACACACTTTTTTTTATTAATATAGAATGATCTCCACAGAGCCATCCAACGTACACAGTCTGCAATGTTTAACCAAGTTCTTATTTTAATATCCACGCTACTGTGTCTTATCTTCACCTGGTGAGTGGCAGATTTTTTTTTACTACTATATATTGGTCTCTCAAGTTATACACATTTTAATATGATGAGGTAATAGGATAACGTATATATGTGTTTAGATGAATAATATTGCATATGAAAGGATCTAAATAATGGGCTGCTGATGAATTGTGGTTGGAGGGGGCTGCCAGATGAAGTAAATTCATGTGCTTTACCTTGTACAAAATGATCAGTAACAAAACAAGGCACAGTGCTACCTATACACGCAGGAAAAAAGCTGTAATATATGGATGGTCTCTGCACAGCTCCACAAACTATCCTAATCCTCCCTAATTTATTGGCATGGGATACAGAAGAATCCATACGGATCTATGCTTCTGCAGCTTCCCCAGCAACTTGTAGGCTGAGGAGCTGCTAATAACATTCCAGGATAGCATGGCAGCTGCAGAGAGAAAGACAGCCACTGCAGTCTAATAGCCTTCTCAGGTATAAGGATTCATTTCTGAGTGCAGCAGAGCTGAGAAATAAGGCTATTATGAGGCTGTGGGGGTGGGAACAGTAAATGGGTGAACTCTGGCCAGAGTGGCTACTGCCTTTCCTTTATTTATTCTGCCAACCAGGGTGCCTCTGGGGTCAGTGCACTGACAAAGCTTAGTCTATCATTTTGGAGACAGTGATTTGATTTGCTCCTGCTTTATTTCTCCAGCCTTATTCTTCCGCTAGCCACTGTCCTGTGATGCTCACTCTTTGGTCAGAACAAAATAACATATGGCCTTTACCAGGCCTGCTAATAATGCCTGTCTCTGTCTTTTAATTATACAGAGAAGCTTGTGCTCTTTAGTGACTCAAGGAACAGTCCTAATTTTATCCCTTTGCCTTAGGGACATATAAATGCACAAGTTCCTTCCATTTTCACCTAGCCAAAATTCCTAATTCAAATCAAATTTTCCATTTAACTCCATGGAACTTTAAAGGACCTGAGTGAAGAGTAGCACTGAAGCTACTCTGTATAAAATGCTGTCCCTGTAGCACTGGAACAGCTCAAATTGCCTCTAATTTTGTTTGAAGTATAGTGTAAAGCACTCTTGAGCGAGATGTGCTTTCATCTTTATTACTGTCTTGCTAGAGTGCTTGATCAAAGCTCTAGGTAAAATCTGAAGTACATATCCACTTCTCAGTGAAGCAAGCTTATACTGGAAAAAATGTTTCCTAGGAACGGACAGTGAGTATCCCTGATTGACAGGTACGAGCGCTGCAGTTAGAATGGAACTTAATGTTCAGTACTAGGTATATTGGTAAAGGACAGTAAATCATGGAGAAAATGGCAAGCTGACCTACAGTAATAATGCCTGGTTTCAAAAGTTGAAGATAGAGGCTCATTAAATGCTGACCTAGTGCTGACCTTTCTGGACAGCAAAATAAACTAAATAAAAATGAAAAAAAAAACCACTCAATAACACAAAACCTAACTAAAGAAGTGAAGCAGGAGTAAAATATTTGTTGAAATTATCAATGTTTGTTCTTCTGTTGAAACAATTGTTTTTGTTATTTATTTGAGTATAGAATGATTTTAGACTGTTAGTTAACCATTCATGTAAGATCTGTGGAAGTCAACACTTTTGTCAGACGTGCCACAAATTAGCCACATGCCCTTCCCAAATTCTGCTTCAATCCCCTTCCCCTCTCTGATCTGCTGCTTCACTTTCTGCTCCCTGCGCAAGTTTCTATCTGCTTTCCACTCTATCAGTCACCATGCTGCCTGTTGCCTAGCCAATCTACTACATGCCACACACAGAGGCTTCCCACACCACTGGCCTGTCTGCAGCAGGTTGGCCACCCTGATTATAAGATCATTCAGTGTAGCAGAGAATGCCAAGTGTAATCATGAAAATATTCAATCAACATTCCACTTCACTTGTATTATATCCCTGGTGAAGCTGACCTAACCTCTTGGTTAATATATACCCTGCATATAAAATGGAATCATGAGCCCTATTGAAGAATTACATGGAAATAAAATGTTAGAAAATACCTTACCCTACAGTGGCCATGTCTACATGAGACAATTAATGCACAACAACTTGTTACTACTGCACAGCAGCTCATGACTACTGTGCAGCAGAATCACAGGGCACGAACTGTGATGCAATGCTGCTGTGCAGTAGTAACAAGCTACTGTGCAGTCAGCATCACCATGAAGCTGTGTGGGGACACCACTGTACAGTAACACTGGTTACTACAGTCATCACAGCCATTGGGTATGCAAGTACTAAATGACTGTGCAGTAACAACTGTATAGTCAGTGTCTGATGTAGACATGGCTAGTATGTACAAAGCTGAAAGGGAAGGGTAACTATCATTTTATTCTTTGCAGAAGCAGACAGAGTAACTCTGCCCCAAGCATATTAGCCTATGTAGCAGAGGCAAGGCAGATTCCTTCCCTGCCAAACCTCTGTCTGTTCTAACTTAAACATTAAGGTAATGGCTTTCAGAATAACAATTGGTGCCTAGATAACTGCTTCCTGTATGGGCTAGATTGTACAGCTCTTCATAGTTTCTTGCTTACAAGTGCTAAGCACTTGTAGTTCCCCTTTACTTCAATGAGAACTGTGGATGCTTGGCACTTCTGAGAATCAGGACACATTTTTATAATGTGTTATTTTATTAGACATCATTCCTCAACAGATATGTGGAAAATACATCAAGAAATATGACGATTATTTGTATAAATTGTTCAAAGTGTTATCCTGTTTTACTTTGAGGACTAAATCTTAAAATAGGCTGAAATAACACAATGACTACACACTCTAATTTCTAGAAGTTATGAGCTTTCCCCACAGCATTTAATATATGTAGCAGTTAAATAAACCTGACTTTCATTCAAAGTTCACGAAATGAAGGGAGGTAGATACCTCCTCCATGCTTGGATTGTTCCATTCCAGAAAGAGCCATGAAAAGGACATTATGGCTCAAAATTGCTGAATTGTTTCCAGTCTCATGCCAGCTCATCTTTTCAAATTAATGTGGAGTCAAAGCTAATTCCCACATAGGTAGGGACCTAGCTAATTCACAGGAGCTGCCCCCTGATTTCATGGTCTGAGCACAGTGCTGGTAGCCATTTTGTGGTGGGTAGAGTGTGTGGTGAAGTCAAGCCCCAGGGGCAGCCATAAAGCCCTCTGGCAGCTATGAGACTCTTGCCTGGGTCTGTCTCCAATGCAGCCCTCCATTAATTGCTCACCTGCCATGTCTTGTTCTTATTGAAGTTAAGTAAGGGAGGCTGCCCACGGACCTTAGAGAGAGCCTGAGTCCAATCAGCTCATCCATGGGTCCCTCCCAGACCCCACTAGTCTCAAGCAGCCTTTGTGCTAAATAGGCTTGCTCAGCCTGGCAGTGCCCCTGCAGGGCACCTATAGCCTGAAGAGCAAATTGTGTGGCTCCATTCCTCCCCTACACCACAACCTAAGTCTCGCAGGTGTTACAATAATGTTGTTCCCTCTGTTGGAACCTCAGCCTCTGCCCCTTTAATATCACTAAGCCTTCTAGCCTAGGCCCACTACATTGGGCCTGGCTTTGAGGCACTAGCTTCAATCTATCACCTTCAATCACTGGACCCCTGACCCCCATTTGCTGGCCCCTGTGTGGCTGTGCCCCTCAGGTGCTGGGCCCCTATCTCATTGTGCTCCTGCACACTGCTCCTCTCTGGGATTAACAAAATCTCAGGCCTTAAGCCTTCCCCTGGCACAGCTCAAGCCAGTCATGTGCCTCACGGGTACCAATGGGACCTCTGTAACTGTCCCTCATAGTCCCAACCCAAACTAGTGGGTAACCTAAACCATAAGCCCTTGAGCTATAAATAGCAGAAGTAGCCCTCTACCCCTTTAAGAGACCAAACTTTCCTTATCTCCCAGCAGGTATACTTTCCAGCCCAGGGCTATACCTTAGCCTATACCCTTAGCCCCCTTGGGCTCTTGGACCCTCCAGTCCCATGCATAGCCTCTCTTCTGGGCTCTTGGATGTTGTGGTTCCATACGTAGCCCCTCCTCTAGGCTCTCAGACCCTTTGGTCCTGTCTCAGCCCTTCCCTGGCACATGGACCCACTGGTAGGCACCTCAAACCCTCTAGGGGATAACATAAAACAAAGGCCACTTGCCTGTAACCCAGTTTCTCTTCTCCCAGAGAACTTGCCTCTGTTCCCAGACCTGCAAAATTGTTTAGCTTAATCTAGGTCCCGTCCAGAGCCCTGCTGCCCTACAGCCAGAAACTCCTCACTTTGTAGTTGCTGGGGTAGAGACTACTTGACCCACACAGGCTCTGGGCATATATAGCTGAATCCTGAGCCCTCTTCTGGTCAGGTGAGTTCCTCATTAGGTCTTCCCTTACACCTGCAAGCAGCCTTTCAGCTGCTTGTTCTCTTAAAGGAGCAGGCACATCTCAGTGCCCTGTGACATGCCCCCCCATCTCTGATTGGCTGAAGGGCCCCAGAATTCCTGTCACTCCCAGGAGATTAACAGATGGGAAGCTGTCAATCTTTATTGGGGCTGGACTTCTGGGGCCCCTTGGCCCAACCAGAGGTATGGAGGGGGCTGCTGTGACCTCCCCCCACTTTATCCCTCCAGTGCTTCAGGACACCCTGGCTTCCCTCCTCTATTCACAGCTCCCTTTCATACTCCTCTCCCCCACTTGCTGGTCATTTAACAACTTTTTTACGCCCCCATACTTTTTTGCGGGGACCAGGCTTTTTCACAGAGGACCTACAAAATTCAAGGTTTCTGTGAAAATCATGAAATTGTGAATTTGGTAGGTCCTTACACATGGGGTTTCATAAGTGAGGCAGAAGTGGTGCATAGCTCTTGTGCTGCCCCTATGAGTCAATCTTAAAAAAATCATGGATGAATTACAGAACACAAGTGCTGCCTAACAATGACACTTTCATACTTAACAGATTGCTCCTTGGTGCACATTCAAAAGCCTACATACATTCTTACTACATTAAAAACTGTATATTTTTTGCGTATGCTTGA